TATTGCTCCGGAAGTTCCGAGCCAACCGTGACATACTTACAAGGCAAAATATGGGTAGCTTCCGCGCAGGAAGAGGATGCGCCGATCGCATCTTCGCGTTACGTCGCCCGTTGACATACCACTACCATTTCTAACAGGACACTATCGTGTGCCTTACAGACTTCTCAGCAGAGTTCGGTGCGATTCATCGACACTCCTGTGGCGCGTTACGGAAATGGATGGCATTCCCAACAGGCATGCGAAACTACTTAAGGCTTACTACATCAGGACACGAGCAAGAGTTTAGGCGAACTGACGAACTTTGTTAGCACTATTTCTGTCGTTCGTAGGGGCTACGTTCTCTACTCTGTTCTCTACTCTATTCAACTTAGTCACTGACTGGATCATGCGAACAGCACTGAAGGATTTCGCCGACGTCGAAGTGCAGTAGCTATACCAATAATGTTGACTTTGCCGATGACTCTGTCATTACATCATCGAACTATGATGATAATGCGACTCCATCACGCCTCTGCAACAGAAGGACTAGTCATAAACAAAAGGCAAAACTATTCACCCATGAAATCCTGGAACAAGCAAGAACAAAATCAATATTACTTTGTGCAAAACCCATCTTGAAAAGTCATCACCTTCAAACACACTGGCTCCACCATTCTTTTTTCATAGGCAGTACAGCGATGAGATTAGGGATAAATCAGTAGGAGTAATGAAGAATTTTCTAAAGCTCTGCAAGCAGCAGCGGGAACGATGGGAGATCAGTTTGAAGATGAAATCCTGAGTTCTGCAGGTCTCCATCAGATCCATCTTCCTTCATGGATAAGAGGGTTGGCATTAAGGGACAAAAACGTGACGAAACTGAAATTGTTCAACCACACATTTTTACGAATAATCTTGTGGACACGATTTATGGACCATATATTGGACACCACAATCCAGGTCCGTTGCAACATTAATCGGCTTTATAATGCTCTGAAAGAACGGTGATTGCACTGTGGGGCGCAAGTACTGAGATATTTACCATCTCCCAGACGATATCACCTGAATTACACTGAACGCCACCCGATCCCTGGGTGGACCAGAATAGAGGCAGATCAATTAAGCTCTGGTGAGACACAATCAGGTCTGAGACTGAAGTCGACTAGTGTACGGTCAAAGAAGGCAGTGTACAAACGATAAAACAAAGATTAGCTGAACGTGGTGGCGGCCTTGCGTGTGATTGACAAAGGTGAGAAGCAGCGATCTGTATCGTCAGCGGAGAAGGTTAAAGCAGTGGTGATGATAGTCGTACCAACAACAAAAGTAATGCTCATTGTATACACTGACAGCTACAACTGCAACTACATTAGAAAAGTATTTCTAGTGTTCAAGTAAATGAATGCAACGTTAAGACAACGGTCCTAACAAAACATTCTGAATATTCTAGTTTCATCACCCAGCATTTGGGGGGGGGG